GGCGGCCCGGCCATTAGCATGCGGGGGGCGGCGCGGCGGGGCTGGGAGCCGCGCGGGAGCGGGGTTCTGGCTCCGGGAACAGGGAGCTGGGGACCCCGGGAGCCGCGAGAGGCGGCCGCCAGGGGCGGGGTGCGGGCAGTTTGGAGACTGGGGGCGCTGTGGGTGGGAGGGAGGAAGGGAGGGAGCGGGGGTGGGGCGCACAGACGATTCCTACAGGAGACTGGAAGAGATTTTGAAAGGTCATCTCGTCCTTCCCCCAGCCTCCAAGCAGCACTGCCCCTCCCACCCTAAACCCGGACATACCAGGGAAGGAGTTGGCTCTGCCGCTCTTTCTGCCCCAACATGCACAGACTCGGGAAGTTCTTCCTGGGGTTTTATCTCAAAGCCTCTCCCTTACAATTTCTGTCTCTCTTTGGGGGGAGGAGGAGGGGTGATTATAGAGATAGTTAATGTCGGCCGTATAAGAAACATTATTTAAAGTTATTCTTCGGTCCTTTCTGTTCTTGATAAACAATTCCCGCTCCTTCCTCTCGAATTCTCTTTTCCATTCCTCAAGTCACTTTAATGGCTCTTCAATACAACAAATATTTACTGAGTGCTTACTAAGTACCAAGCACTGTGCTCAGCGCTGTGGGGGATGCACAGATAAGAGGGATGTGCTCCCTTCCTTGAGGAGACTAATCTAGACGGGGTTATAAACTTGTAAGTAGTATATTCAGATTAAGTCAATATTTACTGAATGCCTGCGCACATATTTAATCCTTACAATAACCCTCTATAATATTAGTCCTCACAGGTAAGGAAAATGAGGCTCAAGGAGTCTCTCTACTGGCCTGCAAATTCGGGGATCTTCAGTGCAAGCCCAACATCTCACATGACCAAGAAATAAAATTAATCCACATGAGGACTGAAGAGTGAGGCGTGGACACACAACAGTTCCCAGAGAGTTTGGGGATCCGGAATCCCTTTAAAATGTGACCCATACTTCCCAGAAAAGACAAGAGCAATACTGGACCTCATTGATGTTGGCTCAGCACTGAGCAAGGCAGAAGTGAGTTATAAGGGCCATTTGCCTCCCAGAACCCTACCTCCTGGTACTAACTCTCAGGGGTCTTCTGGCTGTCTTCTTTTATTATCAATAATAATAAATGATAGTAATGATGGCCACTATTATTGAGCACTTATAGTGCCCATTGCTAGACTAATCTGGTTGATGAATTTTCTTTTATAATGTTCAAGGCAACTCCTTGAGATTGGTATTATATTAAGTAAACTTCCCTTTACAGATAAGAAAAGAGAAAGATTAAGCAACTTCCCAAGGGCACCCCTATAGATCTGGAATTTGAACAAAGGTCTGGTTGCCTCAACTTCAGGCTCTGCACCAAAATGGGCCTTTCCTGTCTTTGATCTATAGAATATACATTTGGGGGTCCGGCTGGTTTTGCTTCCTACTGCAGAAATAAATGTCCTTAGCTTAGCTTCTGAATAAGCCCTTTAGTATATGGGCATCGGTGTGACCCCATCAGGCACCACTAATGATTAATTCACTCACTGTGAATTAACAATTGTTAGCCCTTTTTATCAGAGGGCAAACTAAGGTTTAAATAGTTAGAATAAGTATCCAAGATCACACAGCTGGGAAATTGGCATGGGTAAGATTTTAGTACAGGCCAGTCTGGTTGCAAGGCATCTTTTCTCTCAAAAATAGTAATTGTTGCAATAGTATCCTTCCTCAAACTGACCATATGAATACCATCTTCCATATATGTCTAGTTGCAGGTCATCACTGAGTCAAAAATAATCCCCACTATAAACAGGGTTCCCCATCTATTTAGTCAGTGTTCAATTCAGAATAAGGTGACCAGATGTCCCACTTTTGGTGGGACAGTCCTAATTTTTCACAATTTGTCTTGCATCCCACACCGTTTTTAAAAAGTCCCAATTTTTGGAAAGAATGCACAACAAGCTAAGGAACAGCAGGAGAACAGGAAGGGAATATACAGTTTTCAGCTGCCATGTGGCTACTTCGCCAGGATATGAGTTTTATATTATTTTTGTTAATTTTATAATGTTAAACTTTAATAATAACAAATAATTGTTGAGAACTGATTATCCAGAACTGCTTATCAAAGTTCGCACTGTTGATCAGTTGTTAGAATTCCACCACCATTGTTTGGACTTAATGAACAATGGCATTTTTTGGCATTAGCAACCACGAAAACATTTTGGAACTGTCTCTCAGACCATACACATCATACCGCGTGCTAGTGCTAGTTAAACAAGTGATGTCAACAAATCAGCTATTCAGATAATTTAGGGAAGTAATTTATTTATTTATTTATTTCATGAATTTAGCAGACAGTACTCGTATTATTTATATTTTATAGTGGCGGCAAAAAGTCTAGTGCTGGCCTTGAAAATGACACTTACGACTTATGAGGTATCATTATTAAAAAAAATAGATTGATAAGGAAAAGGTTAAATCTTGAGCATCAGCAAAAATAACAATAGAGAACAAATGGTTAGAAATATTTCATCATTTTGAAACAAACCATGTTCCATACAATAATGCCCTAAAAATTGTGGCATACGCGCTGTCCTTACCAGGAACTAATGCTGCGACTGAACGCGTTTTTTCTACAGTAAATAAAGTGTGGACATCAGAAAAATCACAATTAAGTGTTGAGACTTTGAAA